ACACGAGATGCACATAAGACACAGAAGGCACGAGAGACAAGTGACAACACACCCTGGGACTGCTCTGCCCTGCCTGCCTCAGCATTGTTAACCAAAGTGAGGCTTTCCCTCACTGGGGCCTATGGGGTCATTTCCAGAACCTCCCCATCCCCAAAGCTCACTCAAAAACCCAAACCGATCTCAGTCCCGACCGCCGCCCTGCTTTGATCCCCTCTGTGGGCTCCACTTATCTCTCAGAGGGCTGAAGATGTGAGTCACGGCGAGAGGCCGGTCAGGAGCCAAACAAAGCCACCTCGCTGTCTGGGAACTTCTTCTCTCACCGGGCTGTTGTCTCAGACAAGTGTCATCACCTATGATAAAGAAAACCAAATATAAGTGCACAATCTTAGAGGCATATTCACCTAAGAGACTCCTACTCACCAGCTCTTAGGAACTCCCGGGTCCTCCGGCCGCACGCTTCAGCCACGCTCCTAGGCGGATGCCATCGTCGCAGGGTACGCCTAGGATAAACGGAGAGCAGGCGATGTAGCGTCGCTGAAAGTTGAGCGCGCCCTCGCCGCTCCTTCCAAAGCCCCCGACTTGCCGCGACTCCTCGGCCACGCCTAAAGGGTACCAGGACCGCACCGACACGTGGACGAGGTCGAGGCTTCGTCACGGACTCCGGTAATATTTGCTGGGGCTCACCAGAGAAGCAAACCGGGTCTCTTGGCAGGTCAGTGAGGGGGCCTCAGCACAGCATCAGGAGGCAGCCTAAAACACACCAACAAGCAGGGATGCTTGGAGTTGCACCAGAAACTGCGACCCCAGCAAGAACAACAGCTTCTCTCCACCAACCGAGGCTCACCTCCCACCTGCTTTGCCTTCCCCGCTGCTTTCCAGCTTTACTTCCTAGAAATAAATACAAAGAGCAGAGCTGTAACACAGTGACCGGTTCCAGCCCCGCTGCAAAGTAAAACCGTGACCGACCTTCTCAGGGGGACCCCCTCATCTGGGACAGGTGTTCTGCCAGGAGGTCAATCTGTCTGAATCTGAAAGAAAGTTAGGAAAAAAGTCAAAGTGCTGCAGGGTAACTTCACAGCTCCAGACACCTGCTGCCAACATAAGAATACCAGCTAGACTCCAACTACAGCCCGTATTACAAATCTCCAATTACAAGTGCCCGGGACTTGTCCTTAAACACCTACAACCGGGCTGGGCGCCAGGGCAGAGCAGCTCCGGACCAAATACCCCCAGACACCCGTGACACGAGGGGACGTGACAGGGAGAGAAAACTCTCTGAGACAAGAAAGTCCTGACGAGGACCGAGAGAATGCTGAACGAGATGACCGAGGAGGGACCCGAGGCGAGCCTGCCGGGATCAGATGACCCTGGAGGGAAAAGATGCTAACGGAACAACTGTTTTCCAAGAACCGCAGAGACAGATGCCTGAGAATCCTGTGGCTGGAAGCCTCTGCCTGCCTTTGAATCGGCACAAGTCCTTATCCACTGTAAAGAAACACTGCTGCATATAGCTGTTGACACAGCTGAGAACGAGACCTAAAAAAACATCCGATCACACGCTTCTAAAGACAGATGCGATTCTGACGCCTGTCCGAACTCCCGCATAGAAGCTTCGCCGGTGCCGGGCCGAGGAACGCAAAGATGGGAGATGAACAGAAGGAGCTGGGGTTTCTTATAAGCTCCTGGGAGGGCTAAGACAAGAGATATGCTACACGAGATGTACAGAAGATATAGAAAGCACAAGAGACAAGTGACAACACACCCTGGGACTGCTCTGCCCTGCCCCCCTCAGCATTGTTAGCTAAAGTGAGCCTTTCCCGCACTGTGGCCCCAGAGGCCATTTCTCAAACCTTCCCCCCCGCATAGCTGACTCAAAACCCCTAACCGGTGTGAATCCTACCCCACCGCCCTGTTTTTATCCCCTCTGTGACCACAGCCCTCGTCTTATCTCTCTGAAGTGAATCTGTGCGAGGGGACGATCCGCTGCTAAGGAAAGCTGCTGCGGGGGCGGTTCCCTTTTGTGTTACGATGAATCTGCTGAGAGAATCTGAAGTATCGCACTTGATGTGACCTAGAACTTCTGGAAATTCTCCTAAAAAAAAAAAAAGCCAAGAAGACGAGTCATTATAAAAGCATCTTATTGCCCCTGAACCCCCAACACAAAACCATGAACTTAAATACTCCCTGTATTCAATATTGTTTTCTTTGAGGTGTTTTCAAAACTTGTGCTGCTTCAAATGCCCAAAAAGATGCCTGCTCTTAGCAGGCTGAAGCAAATTGAAAGAGCCTCTTCACTGAAATGAGAGAGGAGCTCTTTACCCCTGCTGATTCCCCTGGAAGGAATAATGCCCCTTAGCACAGCCTGGGGTTAATATACCCCTAATTGGGCCCGCCTCTTTTTCCCACGATGCCTGGGAAAGGGGAGGCGGCAAATCCCACCGGGTATAAAGGCCCTCAGAGGGACCGTAGCTGTTTGGCTCCTCTGAGTTAAATTTGAGGTAAGGAGTTCTGCGTAGAAGAAAACTCTTTGGGAAAAAAACAATGTTTTCTTTTCTGCTGCAATTACTCAGGACAATGGAGCAAAGGAACAAAAAAAAGGTAAGAAGAAACACTTTGTGTTTCAGCAGTGTTGCCAGCTAAGTTGGATAATTTATGGACTTCCATAATTATTTTTCAGTGATTACTAAGTAGCACTCCACCTGTGATTAATTAGGGTGGAGAAGAATAGTATTGATTTGAATGGTGTCTCATAGGGACCTTTAATCAGGGCTGTCTACATTCTAAATGAAAATAAGAAAAAGAATGGACTCCCAGGTGGCATTACCATTACATACCTGCTGGCCTCGCTCCCGTCGCAGATATTTGGTGCCAGGGTGTGGGTAGAAGTGCCCTGAAATGCAGCTTTAAACCCTTGAAATGCTGGAAAAGGCAACGCTTAAAATGAGCAAACGGGACAGCTAACTCCATTTAAACAAATACAGTGGTAAATAAATGGCTTCTCCCCTTTAATTTAAACCCCTCAGATATTGGGGAAAAAAGTAGTTTTCCTCACTTTAAATCTCTCTGGTGATGGAAAAGGGGGCATTTTCCCCTTAATTCAGATCCATAAGGAAGCATCATCCATGCTTTCCCGTTCCACTTAAAGTGGGAAAAAATAGAAAATGGACAGTCTCTGTCAGTTGATACCTCTAACAGCACAGAAAAAGCACAGTTACCTCCCATTGAGACTATTAAAATTGCAGGGAAAGTGGATTCCTCTTCAATTTGAACACAGGCAATTGTGGAAAAGGAAGCTTTTTCCCTCAGCTTAAACCCCTTTTTTCCTGATAACCCATCCCTTTTTTGGGGCTCTGAAGAGGGAGTGGTGAGGTGCTGAGTACCTCGGGATGGTGCTGAGCACCCTCGGGATGGTGCTGCACCCTCGGGATGGTCCTGCACCCTCGGGATGGTGCTCAGCACTCTCGGGATGGTGCTGAGCACCCTCGGCATTCATCCTGCACCCCCGGGATGGTGCTGAGCACCCTCGGGACCTGACAAGGTCTGGAACAGAGCCGTCCCCCAGCTGAGCTCCTGGAGTGACTATAGAATAGAATCATAGAATCATTAAATTTGGAAAAGACCTCCAAGAACATCAAGTCCAGCCTTCTCCATTCAGGAGGTTGGTTCTGGACTCCTTGTGCCTCAGGTGCCTTGAGATTGAACTATGAACTTAACTTGGTATTTATATATATTTTTATATGTTTATATATATTATGGAGCACCAAAGTTGTGTGCAACAAGCTGACACGTAAGTTCATTAGGATGCAATTACTGCAATCAGAATGTAGGCTACTCAATTATTTTAGCAAGAAGGTGTAATTAACTGCAGGTTCATGTTGAATGCTGCCTGGTGCCAGATTTCGAGGATTGGCTTACATGGGTAAACACAGCAGTGGGGTTTTACCTAGAGCACAGCCACTAGCTGAGAGATGCAGACTGATGGAAAACAGCAGCGGCTGGATTGGTGGGAGACAAGCCAGAGCAAGACAAGAGGAGCAGAGCATCTTGTCCTTCACCTAGCATCCCAGCTGATAGAGCTGGAGCCTCTAGGGATGTGAGCTGAGTGCATCAAAATTTACTGGGTATAATCGCTGCTGAGCCGTTGCTGCCTCGTTATTTAAAAGCATGAATATTAACGAGTTCTTATAGCTTCTTTGGAAAGATCTGCCTGTTATGGCTTATAGATCATAGTGGTACTGGGAGAAAATAAAACTATGTCAAACCGTTTGCCTGTTGCTTGTTTGCAACTCTCTCCTTCAGCTCATGGGAGCCTGGACACTATTCTGGAGAGGTAGTTTCCTCAGCATGTCTTCCACTTGTGAATTATTTAATGGGAAGCTTTGTCCTAGTAATGAGTGGAATATTCAGTGTGCAATTAATATCTCTGTTGCCCTCGGGCCTTCACAATCCTTGTCAAAATGTACATTGCACCTGTAAAAATTCCATACGGAGCAGCAGGCAGAGAGGCGGCTGTTCATGGACTGTGCATGGAGAGAAGGAAGAGAAAAAAGACAGGAAATCTTACAAGATTTGCTGCATACATAAAGCAGGAGACCATCATGGGCATGAGTGGCACAACAGGACCTGGGAGCTGTGGCACAGAATCCTGTATGGTGCTGAGCAACCTGGCCTGGGAAAGGAGTCCCTGCCCACGGCAGGGCTGAGGTAATGAGCTTTAAGGGCCCTTCCAATCCAAACCATTTTATGATTCTGTGAAGTTAATTTTGTTAATTGCTGTCCCTCATTCCCAGGGCAGTGCCATAGGTGCGTGAGTTCCGTGTCCCTGGTCCTGTTCCATTGTTTTAGAAGGAAGTTTCTGCAAAGAGCCTGATCTTCCCACAACTCATTTCCAACTGGAATTTAACAGATCCCCATCTGCCAAATAATAAATAAGAACCTTTACATGCAACACTCTGTTTCTTAAGCAGAGCTATAAACAAAGCCTAAATAGCAGCTAATTTAGGGAACGAGGTTGGGAAGGCAATGTTGCCATAGCTGCAGCACACGAGTGGGATGAACACCCAGCCCCATGTAGTCAGGTCCCCTGTCATGGTTTAGGGCAAATTTGGGAGAAAACCTCCAATGAGCCCTCCCCACCCCGGGAAGCAAACATACGTAGCGGTTCCCAAAAACCAAACCTACTGCCAGGCTTAAAGGCACCACCGAGAGCTAGTCCCTGTGGCAGTGAAGGGCAGGCTGTGAAGGATTGCAGAAAATGCCTTATTACAACAAAATGACGTGGCTCTGGTTTTCATTATTTTCACTCTGTGGGGAAAGTCCAATGTGGTGAAGCTGGTGGCGTATCAAGGGCAGGGCCAGCAGCAGCAGCAGCTGTGTCTTTCCCAGGGAGAGCAGAGCCAGACATGCTCACAGACTTCCCAGGCCAGCCTTTGGGCAGGCACTGTTGGGGAAGGTGAAACAGGGAAACCTTATGTGATTGTTTGGCACTAGATTGTGAAAATATGAAGGCTAGAATCAAAGTAGAAATGAAAAGCCTGCTTTGAGTTATAGGATACTGAGTACTGGTTAACCAAAGAACAATAGCCTAGCCAGCTAGAGGAGAATCCCTGTTGATAAAACAATGTCCTTCTGCTGATAAGAAGAGTCCAAAAGTAAAGAAGCAAGGAAAGAACTTGTAAAGCTCTGTAGAGTATAAAATGCAACACTGTATGTTAATACAGGGAAGCCCATAGGTTTCCGCAGGGCCCTGTGGCACTGAGAAGTGTGGCGAAGCCACATCTCTTCTGTGCTACACGGGATACCCCCCCTGCGTGGGTTTTTCGGGGTGCACGTTGCAGAGCAGCGTTTGAACCCCTGGTTTCCGCAGGGCCCTGTGACACGAGAGAGGGTGGGAAAGCCACGCCTCTCCTGTGCTACACGGGACACCCCCCCTGCGAGGGTTTTTCGGGGTGGACGTCGCCGAGCAGCGTCTGCACCCCTGGTTTCCGCAGGGCTCTGTGGCACTGAGAGGTGTGGCGAAGCCACGTCTCTTCTGTGCTACACGGGACACCCCCCCTGCGTGGTTTATTCGAGGTGAAGCTTGCCAAGCAGCGTCTGAACCCCTGGTTTTTGTGGAGCCCCCGTGGAGCTCAGGGGGGCGTTGCAAGGCGACGTCCCACCTGGGCTGGGCGGGGAAAGCCTCTACGTGGTCGAGCGAGGGGAAAACGCTGCCACAGCATCTGCACCCTGATCTCTCTAAAAGTTTTTCCGCTGCAGTGTCCAAACGTAGCTTTTAGACGACTCGGCAGCGTGATTATGTGCGAGTATTACTAAGTGACACCCGAGAACGGACGGGAGGTGCCTGGCTAGCACCCATCGCCCGAGCTCTGAGAGACGAGCCAACATCATTTAAATAAGAGGTGAGTCACAAACCAGTCTATCATGGGTCAGAACTGTTCAACCCCAGACAAAAAGCTGTATAAGCAACTAAAATTCTTACTGAAAGCCAGCCAAAGTAATTTGCCTAAACGAGAACTAAAAACCCTCCTAACCTGGACTCTAGTTAATTTCCCAAACGCAAAACACTTAGATTTTTTTACCAGAGATTTCTGGTATTACCAGAGTTGGTAATACGCTTTTCAATAACATTTCCCGCCGAGATATGGCA